AGTGACATAAGAAAACTCACAGTGATCAAAACTTTACCTTTGGGAATTTATATATTGGACGTAAAAGTCTGTAGCTAAATGGAACATCAAACTTAAGTCTTCTACTTTTATAAACCATGCCAAATATGACTTTTGTCATTTCATCATACAAATTGTGTACTTTTAAAAATCAGTAACTGTATCTTAGATTAACACATCAACATGAATTTCTCAAGACTTGTGGTTTGCTAAACATTATGGTAGGAGCTTAGAGAAGGAGATTAAGACCTACCACTGGCCTCACAAACTCTGCAGTCTAGCTATGGAGAATGAAGACTAACACGCTTCAGATCAGAGTACAATGACCTCTCAGTATGTACTTCTGTGCTGTGCTGGGTGACACAGATGGTCAGCACTCTTTTTCAGAGGAATTAGAGAGATTAGGAGCTGGGGAATCTGAACTGGGGTATCAGATTAGGAGCTGGGGTATCAGGAATTATTTCTGACAGAACAGTGTGATTTTCAAGAGCCAGGCTCTGATGTCTAACAGGCCTGGGGTTGAATCCATGTTCAGCCACTAGTCAGCAGTGGAAACTTTGGGAAAGTTAGCTGACCTCGCTGAGTGTCAGTTTCGTCATCTGTCAGAGGGTAATAGAAAGAATACCTTAAAAGGCTTTCTATGAAGGTTGAATAAATTCTTGTTCGACTTTCAATAAATGAGAGTTATCTCCTTCATTACTACACCATCACAATCCCCTTCAGTACCAGGCTTCAGAGGATGGAGAGAGGCATTGTCAATGGGCACAGACTGAAGCCAGCATTCCCCCCAAAAAAAGGGGAAGGCAAAAGGAGCAAAGGTATGGAGATAGAAAGGAGCCAAATGTGTTACTTCTAGGCTGGGGAGGACAGGCGTAGAGAGCAGTTCTTCAAACACATAGGGAGAGATGATTGGACAAAGATGGTAGGACAAAATGATGGTGACGATCTTTTGTGACTCTCATCAAACCTTGTAGGTCAGTGCTGGGAAGATAATGTGCCCTGAAAGTTGCTGGAGAATAAGATCCACGTATGATGACAGGGCAACAAAAAGCTCAAACAATATTTGCTAATTGATTGGGTTGCAAAGTAGAAAGTAAAGCTGAATCTTCCCTTTATATTTGTAGTCCATTCAGCATTTTTATTACAAAGCTTCTAAAATATAAGTAAAACTCATGCCAGCTACATTTGAACTGTTTCTTGGAACCCCATTCCTCCTTCAGTCTCCCTACCATTTCTGTAGACTCTAAATAGAGTAAGAATAATGTATCCACATTTTTCTCCATAGACCCCTACTCACACAACCATCAACCTATGGTCATAGCAAGACAGGTGAAGCCAGGTTTTGATTGTGAGATGAAATCAATCAGTGAAAAGTAGTTGTTGTTTTTAAGAAGCTTTTTTTTTTTTTTTAAATCTTTAAGAGAAGAAATCCAAGGCCATGAACAGAAAAATTGTCTGACTCAGGATGTAGATTGGAGAACAAGCATTACCTCTACAAGGAGACTCTGGGGCTTTTCAATATTTAGGATACTAGTATATGTCTTTTTAATTCCCAAAAGGGTTTTTTTAAAAAAAAAAAAAAAAACCTAAGGATAGAATTAATTATCTTGGAATTGTCTAATATCCACTCTTACGTTTGAAACTGCAAGCAGGGAGACGTTTTAAACATTATGAAAAGAAGAGAAAATCTCCCCTGACAAATAAATTCCTTGAAACATTAGATATTAGTACTAGTCAAGTGCTCGTTCTTTTCAGAAATATTAAAACTGCATATTAAAATGAAAGGATTCTTAGACTGTGCTCCTGCCTAATGCCACAAAAAATAAGAATTTAAGAACAATTTTAGAGACAAAAGATTATATGAAACATCCAGCTCTTCCCCTTATGGGAAATTTCTTTTTTTTAACATCCAAGGCTCAATCATTTCCTAATGTGAAATTACAGATTTTTCAAATTACCATATAAAACTGCAAAAAAATTACACTTGTGACCACAGAAGAGATGGCATACACTATCAATTTGATTTTAAAAGGCATACATCTTTTATACTACCTGTCATTTTTATAATGCCTTTTACAAATTTAATCAATACATTTTAACATTCTATATACTTTAAGTGCAATATACAATAAATATTCAAGTTTCATCTTAAACATGCTTTAGCCTTTAAATTGTTAAAACGGCAGTGCCCTTTCAATCTACTTACATAATGTCATAAAATATACATTTCAAGGTAAATGAAGTCAGCTACTTCAATTTAGTCCCTCAAACTGGTAGTAAATGAGAGGTTAACACTATGGTGCCAAACCCATTATTGAGTAAATTTAGCACCTTGGACAGCTCTGTAAAATCTTTATTGCTTTCCTGACCTGCTCGTCATGTTCTGTCTGTGTGTTCAGTGGCTCTCAGCTCTGATTGAAAGGCAATATATTAGATCCCCAACACAAACACGCTTGGGGGCTAGTTCACTGGGAGCGTAATGACATGGAGGTGAGAGCAATTTTCTGGTCACCGAAATCCAAGCACCTTGCAGGTCCATTGTACTAACTCATAGAGGACCCAGAAATTTCCTTTCTCCTTCCCATTTGCAGAAATAACTAATAGAAGCCAAATCACATGGGCAAAGCTGAACCAAGTCTTTCTTAAATCCTTACAAGTTGATACTACAGTGAACGATATTTTTTGATGGGCTAGATATTATTTAAGGGTGTCCCTCACAGGACAAGAAATCCAGGTTCACACTCCTCAAATCCAAGACTGCTGGCCTGAAATGATGCTGTGCTGATGACCTACCTATGGCAATGTACTCAATGGGAAAACATGCCCCAGCATGGTGGATCAAAGAAGACAGCATCATGGATCAAAGAAGGATGCTCCTTTAGGAAACAAGATCCACGTGTTTTATTTTCAAAGGATTAAATGGGGATGAGAGCTCTGGATATCGATATAAGGAGAAAAAAAGAAGTAGATTATGTCATTGAAAAACTCAACACCAAGGATATACAATATATACTGATAGATGGTATTTTTTCAGGCTTATGAAAACTTCAAAGATCTTGGAGTTTAATTTCAAACATCCCTCCTCCCTGCTTCGGTGAAATTAATTAAAATAATGTACACTGTTCTAAGGCCCCAATTATAGTGTTACAAGAGCGAAGTTCATAAGTGTAGTTTCTTTCTGTGCCTCATCGTGCTTTTGACAAACAGGAGACTTGCTTTTTTCCCCCTAAAATGCAAAGAAAGGAAAATACCTTCCCTGCCAAGCCCTAACACTGGCGTAAATATTTATTTGGAGAAATAAATGAGCATAGGCCTAGCGAAGTCAAATCTTAGTAAATAAACTCACTTGATCCTGTTTTGTTTTAAAGTCATGAGGTTTTAGTGAAGGCAATATAGGCTGAATTTGATCTGGGGATAGGGTTTAGTGTGCCCATACCATAGTAAATTATTAACTGCTCTGGTCAGACAATACAGTGAACAAAAAGTGGTAAATTAGCTTGTAGCTTACATTAAAAAATAAAGAAATGATTTCAGATGTATTGTTTCAAGCCCCTTTGATTATACAATATTTTTTACTCCCTACATGAAAAATAACAACTGTTTTATAAAGGGGGTCTATCAGCTTAAGGCAAGCATAAATGTTTATTGAGAAATGAAAACCCCTCTATCTTATTTTTGAATTTAGGACATTAGATATGTCATAAGTAGTTACTGTAGTATGACAACTACTTTATCTTATATTATAGAGAATTTAAAATTGAAAAATGCTAATATGTATCTAAAAGCTTGTCATTTCAAGAGTTGTTCAAGGATTTTTGAAGAGGCTATGGTGACAGCAAAATGAATGCGATTATCTCCTTATTTTCTGATCAGCGACTGCAGTCTATGAAAATTGAACAGCACTGCTTCTCCATGTAGAAATCTATTGTGTGAAACATTTAAAGTTACCCTTCTGTTTGAAACTTTACCCACAGCCAAAAATGGTAACCATATCTTCCTGTAAATCACCTCTGATGATCATACCACACCCTTAGGTTTGGTTGTCTGACAAGCGCCTATCTTTTGCATAGATCAAGCTTAACTTTGCTTTCCTTTTCACATTCTAGTGGAAATGAATCTGAAGAAATTTAGTTAGAACCAAAAATATCAGCACCATACTCACTTTTGTAGAGTACTCCCTATTATTAGAACCAAGCATGGAGGCTAAATATGGAAGTCCACCTAAGTAAAAAGAGGGAGATATTTTTTCTTCAACTGGAATGAGCAGCCAAATATATATCTAGGATGAGAATGAATGAGCAAATGGGGGAAATCACAAACAATACTGAAATAGCAAATAATTGCTATAAAAGAAATAGATACTGCCAGTAATGAAAATTGGTGCAGAGGGGGCTTCTGAGGACAGTAGAGTCCTTCCATAAGAGTTTTTGACAAACAGTGCATTGCCTCAGTATGTGGGTTTCCTAAATCACCCGCCTGTATTATGGCTTTGCCATCCAAGAGAGATAAACAAAAGAAGTTTAATACTACATGCTTCTAGTAGCTGAAGATTGATTGGAAATCCCTTGAAAATGACCTGTCTGATAAGGTCATGGTTCCTGGAATAAGCAATTAAGTGCAAAATAAACACGTCTTAGGGATTCGTACCACGCACTGAATGACATCGATTGTAGTAATCTAGTAAATGACCTAGGAATTGTATTCAGCAATAAACATATGAGTGCTTTATCATGCCTATGGCAGACTATTGAGTGATGTATTTTATCTTGCAGTACCAATGATGCTCACCTTTTGACTCAATTAAGTGTGTATGTGAACAGGGACAAATTGGTGATTTAACGCCATTCTGGGGTTCCCCAAGCTATGGCCTTTATAGCAGTGCCTTGGCAAAGTATGGCCAGAGGGACTGGAAAGTGATCATGTCTAAAGATAACGACAACCTGCCTTCACTCAAAGGATTGTATCTGCTTTTCTCTTGACAGGAAGTAATACTTAAAAGGGCTGCGGATCTGGTAGAAGCTCTGTATGGGATGCCACACAACAACCAGGTGAGCGCTGTGGGTTTCTAGCCTGTGCGGACTGCCGCATGCAATTAAAGATCTCAGATTCCATATCATAATGAGAAAGTACAGAAAATATTAAAGCCATGTGCATGAGTTAAGAGTATAAGTAATTCAGATATAACATGTTGCAAGACTCTTCAATCCTCTCTTTTGTAAACCTTTTATTGCCCTTTCCACTGAATCATTGTCCCTATGAGAAAAGGTGGTCCATTTAAAACTAATCTTTAGTGGGAACATACTTCATAATTGAAGAGGAGAGTTACTGGTGCTTTATTTTATTTCTCTCAGGTTTTCAAGCAAATTTGGGAAGAGAAAGAGGGTTTAATTTTTTCTCCAAAAAGTATAACAAGGCCTGAATAGTATTGCCTGCTTCTATTTCATAGAACTCCATGTATAAGATTCACATAGCTTAGGAAACTGAGTCCGACAAGTCATTCACTCCTTTTTCATGTAACCTGAGTCAATGTCTGGGAGACACAGTCCCATTAAAACTCAGGAATGCAGGTAGTCATCTACAACCTTCCCTTAACATCAACAGAGGAGATGAATTGCAGCCTCTCTCCCTCTCCCCCTGGGTAACCTCAGACTTCCTACACGTTATTGGGAAGGATAGAAAACCTCATGGTGCTGTCCTGTATGGACTGTAGGGTAGTATGAAGGCATGTTAAGATAATGGACTTTCAAAATCAGACAAATGGGCTTATGAATCTCAGCTCTGTTCTTAAATAGGTGAGTGTCCTTCGGTAAGGTTTTTGACTTTCCAAGCCTCAGTTTCCCTATGGCATGATGATGGTGAGACTAATACAACAGGTTTGTCCGGAGGGTCACAGAAGTTAATGCAGCTGACCATTGAAAACCCTGAGTACGGTGCCTGGCACTGGAAAAAATGGTATTATTGGGAATATGACTGGGGACAGCTAAAGGGGATATTCCTTTGACTTTTCAGGAAATCATTCTGAAGAGAGCGGCCGACATTGCCGAGGCCCTGTACAGTGTTCCCCGCAACCACAACCAACTCCCAGCCCTTGCTAACACCTCGGTCCACGCAGGGATGATGGGCGTGAATTCGTTCAGTGGACAACTGGCTGTGAATGTCTCCGAGGCATCACAAGCCACCAATCAGGGTCAGAAGCTTGCTTTTCTCTTCCCTCACACGTTTTCCCTCTCCCTCCCCAACCTTAAGCACCCCATCTCCTCATTTATTGGTCATGAACAATTTTTACATTAAAGAATTATTTTCATCCCAAAAGGGAGATTCTTAGTTTGTGTGTATAAGATATTATTGTACAATGTTGGTCCTAGCTATCATTCTGGTAATCTAATATAGGGGGCTAGAAAGGATGCATGCATTTAGCCATCTCTCTACATTTAACTTTTCATCATAAACCATGAATGACAGATCGCAAAGAGGGATGGAATTAAAGTTTTGAGGGCCCAAAGCACATCATTCTTGCCCAGGGAATAGGAACCTGTTAACTCCAGGGTACATCTCTTAGATCGGGATTTATTTCTGCTCTAAAATGATAATTTATAGGCCCAGCATTGCCACTTCTCATGGCCCTGCTAAGTATTTATGATCTCCTAAGAAATGTGTCTTTTGCTCGCTTCCCATTTTAATCACAGAGCTAGCACCACCAACCCATGCACATGAATCACCCAGTCCCTTCCCTCTGGGTTGCGGCGACGGGGCCAGAAACAGACCTTCCTTTCCCCGAGTCTTCCAGGATTACCACCATCCGAATGCCACCCTCACCCCTGTTTTTGCCCCCACCCCTCAGGTTTCACCCGCAACTCAAGCAGTGTGTCACCACACGGGTACGTGCCGAGCACCACTCCCCAGCAGACCAACTATAACTCCGTCACCACGAGCATGAACGGATACGGCTCTGCCGCCATGTCCAATTTGGGCGGCTCCCCCACCTTCCTCAACGGCTCAGCTGCCAACTCGCCCTATGCCAGTAAGTAGAGATGTGTGTCCCGCGTTCCTTCATGTTTCGCTAGAAGAACTTGGCATCGTGCCATGTGGCCCAGTGGGCAGGGCTTCTCAGTCTGAGGGCCCCTGTCTTTCCATCCTGCAAGGCACCATCTCCAGCAGGAATCTCCGTTCTCCAGTGCTCACCTTCCTTCCTACAAAGTCTCCCTAACAGTCAGAATGTTGCTACCATCCAAAGCAGCTGTATGAGGTCGCTTCAGGAACCCACGCTCCAAGTCAGGTGAAGATGGGTTGACTCCCACTTCTACCAGTTATTAACTCCCACTTTTACCAGTTACCACCAGCTACTCAGGAAACTGAGGCAGGAGGTTTCCTTGAGCCCAGGAGTTCAAGGTTACAGTGAGCCATGATTGTGCCACTGCACTCCAGTGCCTGGGTGACAGCAAGATCCTGTCTCAGAGAAAAAAACAAACCAAAAAAACCCTATAAACAATGAGGACACCATATTTGTCATCTACGTAAGCCCAAAACATCTATTAGTTTTGTCTTACTTCATCTGATTATTTTAGCTACATAAAAGGAGGCAAGTTCATTTCCTCTCCAAGCCTCAATTTTCGCATCTGTAAAATGGAGAAGGAACTAGCACTGACCCTATCCAGTGTTGTGAGACATACATAATGCATACAGTGAGCTTGTCCTGATTCCTGATACATGGAGGCACATTTAATAAATCTAATAATCATAATAATGCAAAGATAATAACACGTGGTGGTTGTGGTATAACATAGTAACAATAGTCTAAAACTTAACCTCTCTCCCTTCAGTTATATGACTCCTTTATTTTTTAATGCTTGGAGTTTTCCCCTTCGTTTGCATTTGGTGTATACTTAAAACAACAACACATTAAAACGCTTTTTTCCAGAAATCTGGAAAGATTTAAAAAAAAAAAAAAAGAAAAAGAAAACCACATACACATACAAAAAATATTCTTTGGTGCCTTGTCCCTGCCTTAAAGAAGTTTGCCTACAAAAAAATTTTGATACGTTTATATGCTTCTAAAGAACCTCAGAGAACTGCCCTCCTTATCTATAAAGTGTCATAACCCATGTCCTTACAATCTCTTCATCTCTCTCTGACTTTGAAGTTCATCTTGGGCATTGCGAGTGATTCTTCTGATGTGCAAAATGTGGCCAAACTCTTAGATATTTGTAGAAGGACAGATAGATGTGCCATTAAATAAAAGAATATTCATGATTTCTTATGGAGTCTTGGCTAAAAATACTACAAATGATGCCCTCTCTCATAGTGAAAATATGGATTGTTCTAGTTCTTTGAAAGAGGAAAGATCATTCTTGCCCTTTAAGAGAAGTTATTTCTGAAAATGCACTTACAGACTTTTACTGTCTGGGTGAATTTTTCTGCTCAAAGTCCACAAAATTACACATTTCTACTTAGTTTGGAATCAGCAGTTTGTTGAACATTTACAACTCCTCAAATAATCTGCATATGTTATGTCTGTCTACTCACGAGTCAATGTTTAGGATCAGTTTCACATTAGATTTTGATTTATCAAAAGATTGTTTCTCATAGAGATCTATCATTTCAGTGTTCTCCCATTTATTCAATCAGAAAATGTTTTGATCATGACCTGAAAATTAAATGGTGGTATTCTTAATTAAATCAATAAACTAATTGCTATATGGTAGCAATTCAATTTAGGGGCTTGGATTGCTCTCCTCGAGCCTGTGCAGACACTCAGCCGCTTCAGCCTGAGATTGCATCTGTCAGACTGTGAAACTTTGAACATTTAATTTCCATTAATTGATTTTCTCAGTGCTCACAAATATAGTATTAAATTCTCAAATAGGCTCTCAGATGGGACGGTTTTATCTGCACAAATGCAAATAAAACAATAAACACAAAGCCCAGTTGATTTGAATTTTTGCCTCCGTAATATTTAATTATTCATAAAGCACTCATGTTGAAAAATTCCAATGGAATAAAAAAGTAAGACATTCCACTGGTAAACACACTTTCTGGTGTGGTGGCTGATAACTAATAATGTTATAACAAATGGAGCTGCTTGACTATATTTTACCCCTTCCTCTGTTAACTGCACCTCCCCCTCCCCGCCCCAAAACTCCCCACCTCTAAATACACATAATGATCGCATTTGCCAATGAGATTAATTGCCTTCCTCAGTGAACCAGCAGGATTTCAAGTCTACGAATATTTAAAAATCAAACCTCCAGTGCAGGAGTTTTGCAATTTAAATGGGTGTTATTATTGAGCGTATTTTCACATTTACAAATCCTAAGAGATGTATAAAAATGCTGGCCTCATTAAAAGAAAAAGTACAGTTTCGAAAATGTTTGTGAAAACTGAGGATGGCGGCTCTGCGTTCTGCGCCATAAAGCACTCAGTGCGTGTGGATTGGGTAGTGCCTCAGACTGATTAGAAGGGGTCATTTTCCCCTGATGGCAACTGTTGCCTATGACCAATTGGATTCCCACTTTCCAAAGGATAAGGCCACCCAAACAGCTCTTTGGACCCTGGTGGGCTTGTGGGAACGAGGCTTTTCCCCCTGGAGATCTTTTTCCTTTGCAGGGTAGTTTAGCAGAAAGAGCTCTGAATTTGGGCGTGATTCCTTGCTTCAGCGCATTCTAGCTATGGCCCTTGGGCTGGCTGCTACACTACTTTCTGAGTCCCAGCTTGCTTCACTTCCTCGGTTGTAAAAAAAAAAAAAAAAAAAAGTATGTGATGGGCCCCGACTTAAGATTGCATTGCCCATGACAAGATGAAAAAGATGTGAAGATTCTTGTGAATGATAAAACAATATCTGATGTTTTATTAAGTTGTGTGAAAAACTAGAAGAAATATCTAGGATACATACTTTCCTGCAGGAAATGGAGGAAATAGAAAGTGAGTGTATGAAAATATTAGTCTTGACTTAGTGTATGTGAAATCTCTGTCTCCTAAAGTAACCCAGAGATTATTAGCCTGGAACAAAAGATGAGAGGCCAGGCCAAGAGGATCCTGGTCGGTAGAGAATGTACATATACCAAGCTCTTTCATATCCCCAAACTGCTAGGTTTTCTCTGAGTTGCCAGAGTTCTCCCATCATTGGTTATCTGCATCCCTACTACTACCAAACTGTGAGTATTTATGTAAGGCTCTGATCCTACTGCTTATTAATTCCCAAACATTCACATATATCCCATAGCAGATATAAAGAATTTGGAACTCTTCTGCATTTTTCACAAATGCTGCCTGTGGCAGTCTGGTGGCCATCCTCTCAAACTGGCCTCTTCCTGTTCCCCCTACCCCAGCCCCTTTCCTAGAACCTTAGTTTAGGCTCTACCTGGGATGCATCCCTTGACACCTCTTCTATGAAGCCTTCTCTGATTTCCCTTCCCTGCCTCCACTGAGATGGCTACGTTCACCTTTGTCACTGTTTTGTGCTACTCTCACCCTCATAACAGGGTGTTGCACTTTTGTTTCCTGGCCTGGAATACTCTAAGGATGGTGACTCTGTGTTCTGCCCCATAGAGGCACTTGGTGCATTTGGATTGGTTAGTGCCTTGGGCTGATGACCAGGGGTCATTTTCCCTTAGTGGCAATTGCTGCTGATGACCCAGTGCCTAGCACACTGCCTGGCACACAGCGGCCCCACAATAAACACATAAAAGATCCCCAGTAATAAAAGGTAGCACATGCTAAGTTCTGTATAGCGAAAGTGGACAAGAGCCTGTGAATTCAGGGAAGGTTTGTGCTGGAAGCATTGTCTGAGCAGGACAGAGCAAGGTGGCTGGGTGAGGGATGGATCTGAGCTTCTTTGCTTCAGGATGCCATGAGAGGCACTGATTTCTCCTTTCTCATTGACCCTCTCAGTAGTGCCATCCAGCCCCACCATGGCCTCCTCCACAAGTCTCCCCTCCAACTGCAGCAGCTCCTCGGGCATCTTCTCCTTTTCACCAGCCAACATGGTCTCAGCTGTGAAACAGAAGAGTGCTTTCGCACCAGTCGTCAGACCCCAGACCTCCCCGCCTCCCACCTGCACCAGCACCAACGGGAACAGCCTGCAAGGTAAGCCCCAGGCTCCACCTGCCAATCCAGATCCAGTGCCCTGACTTCACCCTCCCAGGGCCTGAAGCAGATGCATCACCATTGCCGAGGGAATCAGCCTTGGACCCTGCCTGATTCTTTCTGCCTTCATCTCTTCTGTTCCTTTGTGTTTGTTCTCCTCAGCCCTGGCCCTTGGCCATACTCATCTCTCCTCTGCTGGAGGTGCTCAAGAAGTCCTCTTTTCAACTTCAGCAATTCAGCTCAGGCCCGGGATTTGCTTGGGAATACTGTTTCTGCTGACTAACAGCATCATTTCTCTTTTCTCCTCTTTCACTCCCTGTGGTCGCCATTATCAGATCAGTCTTTTGTGGACTCTAGCAAGTTCTCCAGTGCAGGGTCTCTCCCGGGACTGGCCTTCTCCTGAAGTAGGTCACTCAACCTTCCCTTCCTGTTGCCTGTGTCAGAGTGAACGTGTGCGGGGCTGATAACAGGGAGGGGGTGAGCCATAACTTGATCAGAGCCCTGAAGTTAGAGCATCATAGACCAAAGGTCAAAGACTTCCTACTGGGATTAAGAAACTCCAGAATACCACTAGAGTATTCTGGTTCATACTAAAATTGTTCAATCACTTTCCCCCCATTGCATATGGAAAATAAAATAGTTGCTAAGAGTTGAGATGACCTTTTCATTCATTAAGAATAAAAAGTTACCCACCTTTTAAAACTGAGCACACCATTTCTAACATTTTTCTTATGAGCTCAGCACTGTGTTGTGTGTCATATGTTGAGAACTGCGCAACCCCATTCATTGCCCCCAGCAGGATTGTGTGGTAGGTACTCATATCTCCCACTTGACAGATGAGAAAACTAAAGGTTAGAGAGGTCACGAAATTGCCTGACTTTTAACAGCTGATACATGGCAGAAGCTGGCTTCAAACTCAGACTCAAACATTCATCTCCTAAATACTTTATTACTCAGCGGTGGTAAAAGAGACATAGTTAGGATTCCTAAGGCAGCTGGTAGGGAGATAAGATTAATAAACTCATCGACCACCATTTATTGAGCACTGAACAGTGTATCTGGAGCCGTCCTATGCACGGAGCAGATTTTATACCATTTAATCCTCACATCTTCCTAAAGTATGAGAGCTATTATGGTCTTCATTGTGCAGATGATAAAATGGAAGCTTAAAGAGGGTAAATATCTGACCACAGACATAGTCGGTTAAACGGTGGAGATGAATGTAAGTCCCATCAGAGTCTGTGCCCTTAAGCCCAGCCATACAAAGGTTCCCACAGTGCCTTCCCTTGGTGGCCGGCACCTCACTGATGGAGGTCAGCCTGGAAGTCAGGGAGGGGTGAGGAAGGCAGTGCACATATCTGGGATGTCTCAGCCCTGTTTCTTATGTAAAAGTACATGCATATTTACACTTGTCTACACATACTGTGTGCTGGATGCTTTACACTGTGGGAAGCATATAGTGATTCCCCTGAAGACCCTATGATGTCAGCACTAGTCCCATTGTACAGATGGGAAACTTGAGGCTCAATTTGATCCAGGTCACACGGCTAGTAAATAGTACAGCTAAACTGGAACCCAAGCCATGTGAACCCAGAGCCTGAGCACCCGATCACATTGTCTTTCTGCCTCCAGAAGGACTCTTCAAAATACTCCCCAGAACCCTGCTTGCAAATCTTCCCAGCACAGCCAGACTCAGTGCCCCACAGAGCACGCTGCTCTCCCCCACTCTGACACACAGTGGCAAATCCATCTTCTTAGAGGAAAGAGGAAAAAAAAAAAAAGCCTGCCTGTGCAACTACATTTCAGGCAATATTACTCATGATAGAAAATGCCCACCCCCACAAAGTAGAGCCACCCATTCCTGCAAATCTGATTCTCTTTCAGCTAAAAATAATGCTTTGTCACCCTCAGTACACCTCCAGCTGGCAAACTAGGGATATAATGCTTGAGCGAACATAACTTATAATAGTTTTAAATAATGATCATACATATGGAAAGCAGAAATTTACCATTCTTGAGCTGCCAATCTCAGCCCTTGCTAAACATAGATTTGACATTAGAACCAGATATGATGGGGTTTATAATCAGCAGTTGAGGGGAGGCACTGGAGAAGAACAGGCCCCCGCTATTGGAAGGTCAGTGGCTGTATCACAGGCCAACAGTGACAGAAGTGGGCGGCTCCCAGGAGGCCTGATGTCTTCTCATGCCCTGTGGTCCTAGGAGGAAGCAGGAAGTGGTTGGAAACAGGGGCTGGGCCCAGATCTTATGACTTCCTGGGTTTCAGGAGATCCGGTTATCACCTGAAAGCCAGGATCTGGATGAGGGTATGTGCGTGTTTAAGTAATGATGAAATGGCTTCAGGACAGGGACTCAGACAAAGTTTGTACATTTGTCCTCCCAGGGATTTTCTAACCCACTTCTTACCCAATTACAGATCCCAAAAGTACAGAGACTGTCCCCATTTCTCTGAATAACCGCCGAGTCTGTGCCTCTCGGTCACCTTTCCTAACACAAGGCCACAGCGTGGGAGGTTTGAGGTCTGGCTCAGGGACACACCTCTTGCTGGATTCACTGTTGTGGACGACATTGCCCTTTCCTTCTGATTGAACAAATGTCGAGGGGACTTTTCTGAATTTCCCCCTATCCCATGCCCTGACTATTGAGCATGATGAAACAACAACTATAAAAAGAATGGGCTGGGCATGGTGGCTCACACCTGTAGTCTCAGTACTTTGGGAGGCGGAGGTGGGTGGATCACCTGAGGTCAGGTGTTTGAGACCAGCCTGGCCAACATGGCGAAACTTCATCTCTACTAAAAATACAAAAATTAGCCAGGCCTGGTGGTGTGGCCTGTAGTCCCAGCTACTAGGGAGACTGAGGGAGGAGAATCGCTTGAACCTGGGAGACAGGTTGCAGTGAGCCGAGATCGTGCCACTGCACTCCAGAGCAAGACTCTATTTAAAAAAAAAAAAAAAAAAGAAAGAAAAGAAAAAGAAAAAAAATGGTTTTGTTTTGCTCATACTGTCGTATACCAAATATCCCTACTTTTGAGATGTCAGTGATAGACATACGAATGGTTAAATTAATGTAAACATCTCACTTTAAGCTCTTCTTTCTGCCCACTGTGCCCCCAGGTGCTGGGTTGGCAGGTGGGGCTCACACTCTGGGACTTGCCCCTTTACCCTCTGCACACCATCTCCAGCAGGGCAAAGAGGACCCAGTCTTAGATGAGCAGCACCAGTTTTTCAGGGCACTCTTGCTTGCGCCACAGAGGTTTTCCCTGAGAAAGGTGATAATCAGAGAATTACTTCGTCTTTGACTTTCCAAACTCTATTTCTACCAGAAAAAAAAAATGGATGTAGGCAGGTTATGGAATCGGTGTAAGGATCCCTGAAGTGTTTTATTCCACCTTTTTCCTTTTAATGTTACAGTAGCACCTACTTCATTGGGACCCACCTAGTTCAGAATTGTGATCATTAAGACAGGGCAAGTGACTAGAAAGTCTTGGTTAAGCAAATTGCCCATGTAAACAAGATTAGAGGTGCCACATTTAGGCCATTTAAGTGTTTTCAAGGCCTATTTACCTCCAACTGCCACTCTGTTAACTGTACATGGTTCTGTTTTTTAAAGCCGACTCCTAAAAGACCTCTTCCCCATCAGTGCTCCCTTAGTCTCCTGTGGTTACTACATGCATGTTTATTCCCCAAGAACTAAGCACTGCGATGTCACATGGTGGCAGAATGGTGGGATAATGGTGAACACAGCCACCGACTAGGAGGGCTTATTCCTAGCCTGGCTCCCAACCACACTTAAGGTAGCCTGTCTATTGTCCCTCTTATACAGATGTGGAAACTGAGACTGAAGCTAAGTTGGCTTGTCCCCATTTACACAACTAGCAAGCAAGGAAGCCTGGGATTTAAGCCCAGACAGATTGACTGGACTATGTTAAGCCACTATGCTATATTACGTTTCTATATTCAAGCCACTAGATTAGGCCCTTAAGGGCTACAAAATCCTGCCCATAAAATCTTTCCCTGTATTAGGGGAGACATGACACCAAAGTAAATAAGGAAGATCTGTCTGGGAAAGGCTGGGCACCCAGCTGTGGAAGTACAGAGGAAGGAAAGATGAAGGAGAATTCCGAACAGGTTGCCTCCATGAGGAGGAAGTGGGATTCAGGCCCAGGGAGATGGGGGCAAGGAGCACTTTCAGCAGAAGGACTGAAGACAACCTTAGCCAAGAAGCAGAGGCAGGCATGTCCTGGATAACGTGTGGTGTGAACAGTAGGATTCACAGATTCTATCATGATTCCAGCTGGCTTTCTCTCCCAGGTAGATAAAACGTTTGAAAAAGTTACCATATATCTGAGTTGTGTTTTTTTGTTTTTGTTTTTGTTTTTGTTTTTAAAGCAACTCTAGTCTCGACTTCTGGAGCCTCACAAAATGTCCTGTTAAAAAATAAAAATATAGTTGTCAAAACAATTTGGAATGTGGTGCTCCCTGGATCACTATCTTGGACATCCACAATTAAAGTCTCTGGGGCATCCTGCAGTTAAATAAAAATGACTATTTCATTTAGTTTGCCAAACTTATTTTGACATACAGAGTCCTCTTCTGCATGTTAAGAACACTTAATGTCATATGAAAAACTTTGGAAAATGCAACTATATTTTAGATTTAAAAAGAAAAATGCAGAGATACCTCTTTCTGCTCTTATGCAGGTGAAGCAATTGGTAAATCCTGGTCCCAGACTACCTAACTGTGTCTGTTTTCCAGAGCCAAAGACTTGAGTCACCAACTATGCTCAGTCTTTGTCCATGGAGATGTCCTGTTCCCTTCTCCTGAAGCTTATGCTGCTTAGAGCTTGGGTTTCAGGCAATTGAGGCCTCAAAGGACTTCATTATTCAAGAGAGAGGCATCCCCAAGAAGGCTGTCGCATGCCATTGGAACCCCCACTGATGTAATGATTCCAAACCCTAGTCATGTCCTGGATAGTCTATGCATGAAAAATTAACAAAAAGGCCAGAGTAATTTCACAAAAATAGTATCCATATACTGATGTTTTTCTTTTCCACCTTGCTGAAGCTCAGGCTGGCTCTTCTCAACCCTAGATATCATGCAGCCCAGGACCAAATCCTATGGAATTGTCATTTTTTCCATGCACATATTCAGTCGGTGCAAGATTTACCCACTCACTTACCCCGCTGTTCCTGATTAGCTCATAATTTTTTTTTTTTGAGACGGAGTCTCCCTCTGTAGCCCAGGCTGGAGTGCAGTGGCACGATCTCGGCTCACTGCAAGCTCCGCCTCCCAGGTTCGTGCCATTCTCCTGCCTCAGCCTCCCGAGTGATTAGCTCATAATTCTTACACATGTGGTGGTTTGGGGAAGACCACATTCCATCCTCTCCAAACCCTCCCAGCTCTGCAGAACTTTGTTTTGTCTTTGTTTTTATCAAAAATGTAGAAACGGTAATGAAAAATGCATTGCCTCTCAAAGCAATAGTTTTCTGAGCTTCCGTCAAAGAACATGATCATCCAGCTGCTGGGGAAAATGGCAGAGCCACCATGGTCTTGTGATGTCCTGGCACATGGTGTTGAGAGGGTGGTGTCCTCATGGGAATCTTTATGCACTCCACTTGGGCAAGTTAGCATGCCAACGGCATTTCTGGAACATTCCAAGCTCCAGACACCCATCCCTCTCACCCACATAATGAATCTTCAGATTGCAGCACAGATATAAGAAAAACAACTCCTAAAACTCAAGATCTTCAGGCAGTTGTGCAGTGAGTTTCTCTATTAAAAGGGCCTCTGGAGGTATCTAGGCTTAGAAGCCACAGGCAGGGACCTTTTCCCATAATTTACTCAACAGCAAGGGTTCTGCCCTTGGAGTTGAGAAAGTCATGATTGGGATTTAGAGAACCGTAACGCTTTGATGTTACATGCAAAATTCTGGGTGTGGGCAACATTGGTCTTAGAATGTTCCAGAAATGCTGTGGCATGCTGTCTTGCTCAAGTGGGGTACATGAAAATTCCTCATGAGGACACTTAGCACCTTGTACTAAGACATCACAACTTCTTTTGAAGAGAGTTTCCGTAGCTCCCGTTAGATGCTCAGAGAAGTCTGTGGGCCGATGAAGGTGAAGTAGGAAAGTAGGAGAGGGCCAAACCCACCCACTAGACCCATATATCATTAATTTCAATTTTTTGCTATCATGTATAAACTTGACTATTTCATTTAAAAAAAAAAAAACAAATTCTACATCTCTAGCTTCTCTTGAAACGGTTGAGAGTATCAGTGGCTGCGAGCAGGCATTCCTGCCCAGTGGCATTTGGTGGGAGCTGAGTCACTGCCCAGGCATGCCCTTGGCATCATCACCTCCATCCTCACTTCCCCACCCAGGGGATTCGCTCACTCCTCTTCGCAGCCTGGGCTCTTGGGGTGCTGGAGTTTGCAGCCCCAGTAGTCCAAAATAAAAAGTGCTGTTAGCTATGAACTGGCACGTCAGTTAGCTTTGCTTTAGAACTTTTAATGTGGCCCTAAGTGGAGGCTTAATCTAGTTGATCTAACACAATATTTGGGTACCAAAAGACTGCTTTGATTTTTTTTTTTTTAAATTCTGGTCATTCAAATGGGATGTTTTCACAGTCCAGCTGATAAATGTTGGCTGGACCCACCAACCAAATTAGCTTTTTCCTTTGCTTTGAATCATATTGATACTGTCTGAGTTGTGTGACTATACTATAGGGAACTGCTCTTCAATGCCAGGCACGCAGAATAGATTTTGGTGGAAAGCAAATGTAGACTTGCACCTTTTGCTACAAGCTTAAAACTCCTGCTGCCTTTAGTAAAGTTGCCTGGACCTACCTCCAGCCCGGATGAAAAGATCCCTGGGGAGGCAGAGCCATGCTGGGCTGTCACACAGCAAAGATCCCCCCTTGCGCCTCCTTGCCTTTGGAGCGATAGCATCTCGAATTCTCCAGTTAAGGCTTGGATTGAAGTACTGAGCTCCTGGTTTCAGTCAAACCTAGGGCTCACTTGAATCTTAGGGGGACTGCATTTCCAACTGATCCCAAGTCTTCGGGGGTTTAAGTTGGTCTGCATTTGGCAAAAGACAACTTCCTGTTTCTAAGAAGAAAAGGCTTATGAGGGCTTACGGAAAGGACTCCAGGAGCTTTTGGGCTGCAAAACGGCTCTTGCAAAACAACATTTGGATGATTTACGTGTAAATGAATCAGAAACATGTGGATTGAATTTCCTTGTGAATACAGATGGGTTTAAAAATTAACGGAAAAAGTGTTTGGCAAAATACTTTTTGGTTTTTGTTTTAATTGAATCTAAAATGCCAGGGGTGGGGGTAGGGAAGCCGGAGGAACGTGGGGGTCTCAGGGCTAAGAGCCCCAGGTGGCCTCCCTGTATCCACTTGCAGGATTTGTGGTACTGGGATTCGTGGGGGTTTTTTTGTTTTTTGTGTTTTTTTTAAAAGGCACATTCTTCCAGACATGATCATTAGTAAACGAAGAGGGCCACTTCCTAGACACAGTTATCACTGACAAGAACATTAATTTACATTTAGATTTGCCATAAAAAGAAAACAATGACTCTCTCTGCCTGACAAGACACTCAACCGTCATTGGGAGCCAAAGACGCCTGCCCCTTGCTTATAATGGCAGCATCTCTCTCACCTTGACATGTTTCAAAGTTGCCACCCTGTTTTAATTTTCTTACAGTTATCCTTTTATTCTTCCCACCAATCACACAAAGTGTGCCACATGGGATGGTGCCTATTTAATATAAGAGCACATACAGCCCAGAGAAGTTAAGCAATTAACACAGGGTCACACAGCTAGTTTAGCAGCAGAAGTGGTGGGTTAAAAATCCCAGCAGCTAACCTCTATCAGGTCGTCACTAGGAGCTGAACCCAGGCTAAGCACTTTGCATATATCATTTTATTCACCTCTCCAATAACCCTAAGTGTTGCTGTGATTCTAGCTACAGAAGCTGAGCTTCATAGCAGAAAAGCCAGAGGTGGGACTCAGGCCTATCTGATTCTGTGTTCTCTAAATACCACCATCTGCGACCTCCTGGCTCTGAACGCTTTCAACAATTTTTGGTTACCTCAAACAGCCTTTTTTTTCCCCCCAGGATCTCACTCCAGCTTTCCCAGGCTACAATTTTCTAGGAAATATGGTCAGATCATTCCCAAAACGTTGAGTGAAGCCGTGATATGGAAGACATTCTGTAGTTTCATGCAAACCTGTCTTCTCCTCCCAGCTATGCTTTCTCCCAACTTTATATTCCCAGTGAACAAGGCCTGCTGTAGCTGGCATTTCCTTCTCCCAGCTCAAGGACCTAAGCAAAGGCATTCAAGATTTCTGCTTTGTGGCTCAGTTTTTGTGCTAATACAGAGGACGGGGAGAGCCATATTTTTTGTAGAAATTGCATGCAGTTCGGATGGACCACTTCTTTCTATTTTGGATGTGAAGGGGAGGGAAAAAAGAATGACAAACTGAAAATTCTCACTACTTTGCAAGGTTCGAAGCTGCAACTTTCGCAGTGGTATTCAAACTATGCAACTTTCCAGTTATGCCTTAAAATTGAAATCAGATTTGGAGGGATGTTTAGGATATTTTGTTCTTTTAAAGACACATGCCCATGCTGATTTATGATAATTTTTAATAAAGCACATGTATATTTTATAATGAAAACTCATTCCAGAGAAGATGAGAGCAAATTTGTGGTTAATATTCAAACAACATAGTTGTGTGTGGGTTTTTTTTTTTTTTTAATCTTTATTACTTTTCTCAGTGAGAAGTTTGGATGCAAAAAAAAAAAAAAAAAAAAACCAAAACCATTGACTTCTGTCTTCTCTTTCCATAGCGATATCTGGCATGATTGTTCCTCCTATGTGAAAGAATTGCCTTGAAGAATTGTATTAATGAAGAGGTTGGATTCTGCTACAGAGAGTAATCTGATACAAGTCCCAGAGTGGAACTTTTAACTCAGGCCTTTTTAAGAGGAATCACAATAACTGCAGATTTTTAAACAAAATCACCGACCTTGCAAATACTGAAATTGGAAGAGGGATCTGCAAGTGAGAGTGTTGGTTAAAGTTGTACCTCCCAAGTATATGGGGGATATATTTATTCTGTATTGACAAAAGCAAATCCACTTTTTCTCTTTTTTTTTTAAGCTTAATTCTGCAATCATTTGTCTTTTATAAACCGTAAAGCTCTATACAAGGGACACTATAAATAAGACTTCATGTTTTAATTTATGATGTTTTTAAAGCTGTGTAAAGGAAGAATGAAGTGGTGATATTTACAAAAAAGTAAAAAAAAAGAAAAGAAAAAAAGAAAAAAAAAAGCTTGTATGGGACAGAATAGGAATGCCAGTTAGATTTTTTAGAAAAACTAAGGGTCGGCTTTTGCGCCTTAAAGCATATCAAATGGTAGTTAGCTCAGACAGTGCATTTTCAATATCTAACTTAACATGCCACCCCTTAGCAGTGCAAGCTTATTTCTCTCTTTTGTATTGTTGTCTTAAGTAACTGTGTAAATAAATGCAGCCTGGAAAGTTAAAACACGATGTAAGTGATCACATTTTTCCCTCTACTCGAAAATCCAGTGCCTCTAGACAGATTGTTAAAACTGCATATTTAAATCTGATCTCATTCTCTCCTTTTACTTAAGTCAGTTTCTTCTGAAGCCGATGGCCTCTCGAGAGCTTGGTGGCACACATACTGTGTGAGAATCTCCTTTGAGACTTAATGGAACAGGGTCCAGGCACAGAATTCCACACTCTGCCCTCCAGTTAACAAGCCAAAACCTCACGTACACTCCCCCATTTGCAAGTTTAAAGTTTACTCGTCCTAAATGCCGACTTCATACCTATCTTCCAAAAGTTGACAAAAGCAACGTGGCAGGTATTTCGATTTTCCCATTCAAGATACTGCCTCTATCAGTCGACCCTTACCATTTGTAAAATAATAGATTCAAACAACAGGTTAAGTGCTTTGGAATTAAGAGTTAAAGGGAACCGGGGGAAAGGAAAAGAAGGTTGAGACCTCCAAAACATAGTTTTCTGTTCTATGGGAATTTTTGCTCTCGTTATCTGGGAAGTGTTCTTAAAAATAACAGTTAATAGCAAAGATGCAGCAAAGCTCTGAGGATGCATTTGCCTGATATTTTTTTCTTTGCTCTTGTGTTTTTGTATGTAGTTATAAATACTGTAGATTTTTTTTTGTGATTTTTTTTTTTGCCAAAGTTGTTGTTCTATTTATACATTTTAATGTCTTAAGACATTTTTTTCAATATCACAAAAAGATTTTACTGCATATTTTGCAAAGAAAAAAAAAGCTCACTACCTTTAGCTTGCACATACTTGCAAAGTTAATTAAAAGGCTTTTTGTTTTAAAGGCGATTTTGTAAAATATCCATATAAATAATGTATTTATCTTTCGAATTTGTACATTGCTTTTCCCTTCTTCCTCTTCCTCCCACCCCCAATTTATTTTATTGTGTATGTTTGCTATGTGAAAAGTGCGTATTTGTTTGGTCACCTACACTTGTATTAGCTGTTTCAATGTGATTTTTAAACATTTCATTTATAGTTATTTTTAGTATTGTTATAAACCATGCTTCAGTTTTTTTTAATTTCCACCCAAAAGTCATTGTCTATTTTTGTATTATTTGTAAGTTAAGAAGTTTTTTCCAATATATGGCAAAAAAAAAAAAAAAAATAGTAGCATATTATTCTTGTAGTATTTAGTTCAGTAGATTTAAAAAAAAATGTATCCTTTGCTTTGGAAGCTTACAAAACAACCCTAATGCTGTTTTACTCTATTAATATGCATGGAATCTCTCCCTTTGGAGTGACGCATTTTGTGCATTAAATTCTAGGGAGAAACTTCATAGAAATCAATGAACATACTTTCGTTCTTAAGTCTGCTTGTATATTTCCTCTGTCTTTCACATAAATATAAACCAGCAGATTGGATGCCTTAACAATGCAAATCATATTCATTTCACTTGTACATTGTAACTGTGCACCAGAACTGTCAGTCATCACTAACATTCTAAGAAAAAAGAAAAAGAAAAAAAGAAAAAAAAAAAAAAAAACAAATCGAAAAGCACAAAAGAACTGTTTTGTTACCTTAAGACAATGTAACTTTTTCTAGTAGAGCAAGAAATCATTTACAACAATGCTGCAACTGTGCATGCCCCCATATGGATTTTGCAATGGTTTTCACTAGACTGTCAGAGTGCGATTTTTATGGGTTGGGGTGGGTGGGGGAGGGGAGTTGTGGGAGGGTAAGGGAGGGAGGAAAGCTGATTTTTCATGGTGAGAAATAATAATGACTAATAATAATTAAAAAACTGGAAAACGTAAGCAAGGTGGACGCATTGCTTCTCGGTACTCAGAAAGGTTATCTGAATTTGCGTAGTAAGCGCTGGCCTGAAGATGTACACAAGTTAAAGCCATATTTTGTCTGGTGAGCCCCTTAGCTGTTTCTGAAGGAATGAACCGTCAGTCGGGAAGGTGTCCGGCTTAGACCTTGACAACAGACGCTACCCATCTGTCAGCCATGTGAAGTGGTTAGAACTCTTCTTGAAAGTCCAAAGAGCCTTTAAAATGTGTATAATTTGTGTTTTGTTGCTTCTATTTCTATTGATTAGATGAAAAGACATTCTGGCCCTCTGATCCTCTTTCTTCTCCAGAAAAGTTTCACAAATAAAAGATGTTCCCCTAAATACAGAATATGGCTTTAAGAAGAAAATGAAATGAAGAATTAAATTAAGATTTCAGTGTTGGGGGAAAAATACAGCTTCTGGATGACTGGATTGCATAACATTGCCCTGGCCTCACATTGTACTAGGATGCAGCTTAAATGAAGTCATCTCTAAATCTACTAACCTTTCACCTTCTTATCAAAACTTTTTGAATAGACACACACTGTACAGTTCAATTGTTAGAGAACCTAACTACTGTAGAGATTGTTATAATTTTTTTTTTTTTTTTGCAAAAATTCAAGCTGTAAAAACTTTTCAACTTTCACAATATTTAATTAAAGTTACTTCCTGTCTGTGATGGCAGCTCCTAGTTGTGTATTCATTTCTCTATTTCAGATGAGCCAAAGTCCAACATAATATAAAAGGTCTGTGTTTGTAATGACTCAGATCAGTCTTGACACCCAGTGAAAAGGAATTAGGGTAGTCCTGGGACACCCTCTTTCTTATGTAGGTCCTTGGGGATTTGCTAATCTGGGATGCAAATTAAACACGCGCAGCGTACTGCTGCCCTCTGCCGGCGATAGCTGGACGTGCACATGCCCGCACTGGTCCACAGAGGAGCCAAGAGCCCCCAACTTCAGCAGCGAAGCGCTGAGATCCTCCTGTGTGATTGAATTGTGAATCCAGGAAGCGGCCAGTCTAGAACCCCTATCCTTCGTGCTACAAGTCTGAACCAAGCTTTTCACACACAGTGCTAATTAATCCCAACAAGTCTTCTGGTCAACTAATTATGTGCCCTGGCTCATTGAGGAGGAGGCATGTGTGAACCGAGCCTTCTGTGATCAATATTTTTTAACCCCACATGAATAAGGTACTTCTCCTATTGGACAGGAGTGAAACATTCCAAAAATACCAGATAGGTACATACTCATGTAAAATTGTTTCACTTTGAATTCTATCATAATCATGAATCTCTCTAAATGCACACTCAATGATTTTCCTACTTTTACAGTTTTTGAACATGATGAGGTTAATGATACTTGTAAAATGCCTCAAAAACTCAGCAAATAGGCTGTAGACCAACAGAAACTTGATGGCCAGAGCTGATAGGATGGCAGCAACACAGTCAGGTGTGGTGAGCACTGTTTCGGCTTTGGAATAAAGCCCGATTTGAGTAATGAAAGAGTGTGATATATAAGTTAGAGAAGCTGCCATCATTTTTAAAGAAACAGAATTCTTGCTGAAAAGTTTGGCCATTCAATATATGTTTCTTTTGAATTCTGTGTTTGATATAGTTTCCTATATTAGATGCAGAAGATAAAGATTGAAGAGGCCCCTCTCCTCAGGATGCACACCATCTCAGAAAACACACACTTATATTCGAATTGTGCTACAATGGTTGGCCAGGCTGTGACAGGTGTGCCACAATGCTCCACAGAGCACAGCTGATGTCCATACCTCTGACACGCTGGCCTCTACGATCTTTAGGGGCTACCTCTTGGAAGTGCTCATTCACTCGATCGTTCATGTATTTACTCATGCCTGTAAACTTTGTGTGTTTCGTATGCCTCTGGTACTAGGCAAGACATGGTGGATACATCAGTGGGCCACGGTGATGTTATACCCACCTGGAGCTCATACTTGAGTGGGGCAAATGAACGTTAAGCAACCACTCAAATACCTGTAACAAACTAATAATGGTAATGAAGAAAGTGTCTAGAATGCTCTGAAGGTACATTGCAGCAGGATCTGATTTAACCTAAAGTGCTGGGAAAGGCTCCTAAAGTAAGTGACATTTGAGCTGAGGTATATAAGCTCAGCAGGAGCTAACCTGGTGGGCCTGGCACCTTAGGCAGAGGAAAGGAGGGAGGTGTAACAACACTGAGCTTTGGGGCACATAAGGTACCTTTAGGAACAGAAAGACTATGTGAGTGGAGCGTGCAGATGTACACAATGAGACTTGGGCTTGGGAGTTCAATTCAGAACATGTCCTGAGCACCTACCATGTACTTGATACTGTACTAGCTACCAGGTACACTAAGCAAATGGGCCATAGTTCCTGCCTGTAGGGCCTCTATTGA